CAGAAAAAAAGAGAAAAGAGTGTGTCAAGAAAGAGGGAGTGGCTAACTGTGCCAAATACTGCTAAGAAGCCAAATAAAATGAGGACAGAGAAGTGATGACTGGATGTGGCAAGAATGGAAGGCGAAGAAGCGGAGGCAGTGATTACAGAAAGTTCTTTTGAGACTGTGAAGGGGGCAGAGAAATAAGGTAGAGGAGATAATGGATTGGGATCAAGGGGGAGTTTATAAATAAAGGAGGTACTATATACTAGAGCATATGTATGTTCTATTAGGCATAATTTAGAGAAGATAGAACCTTACAATGCAGAAGAGAGAGAGGTGAGTAAGTTCCCTCCAGGTGCCAGGTCCTTGGGAACGTGGGAGGGATGGATTCTCTGACTGGAGCCAGGACATGCCACCAACTGTAACAGAAGGAGTGAAGAATAGGGGGCCAACACAGGGGGATGGAAGACTGGAGGTGGGGAAACAGGGAGGTCCAGTCAAAGGATGTAAGTTAAGGTCATTGGTTGAGAGTAAGGGCAGGAATGGAAGTCTTGATAGTGTGAGGGAAGGCCAGGTCTGAAACGGTCACTTGTAAAGTGGGTGATATTAGTGATGTTTAGTGACTCTCAGCATGAAAGTAAAGTTCTCTTTGCTTCCACCAGATTTCCATGTCTTAGAGAAGAATTACTGTGTTTGAGTACATTGGCTTTTCTGAGGAGTATAAGCTGTGGGCACTCGAGAGCCTGGTAGAGCCCAGAATGTCAGTGCTCAGTGGCGTAGCCCAGATGGGTGTGGGCAGGACAGAAAAGAACTGAGGTGAGGGCATCTTTATGCTTGGTATGAAGGCCATTGGCCGTTGTCCCTTGTGCCCCCTTGGCCCTCTGAGGAAAGGAATATAGAGGTGTGAAGTTCTGGGATCCTACACCCCTGACTATATCTAACGCCCTGGTTTCTGACAAGATGGGTAAACTTAAGATATAATCATAAGATATTTACTTTTCTACAAAGTAAAAATAAAAAAGTTTGTTTTAAAAGGTATCCCTTGATTGCATTAAATGGGGTTGTTTTAACTGGGTCTTATATACAACAAAAACTGTACAGATTTTTTTTAAACAACTTTATTAAGATATAGTTCACATACCATACAATTCACCCAAATAAAATGTAAAATTCAGGAATTCTTAGTATATTAACAAAGTTGGGCAACCATTACCACAATAAATTTTAGAACATTTTTACCACTCCCTAAAGAAACCCCAAGTCTTGGCTATTGGATGAAGAGGATGTGGTATATACATAGAATGGAATACTGCTCAGCAATAAAAAAGACAAAATCGTGCCATTTGTGACAACATGGATGGACCTGGAGGGTATTATGCTAAGTGAAATATGTCAGACAAAGACAAATATGGTATGATGTCACTCATATGTGGAAGATAAACAAACACATGGATAAAAGAACGTATTGGTGGTTACCAGAGGGGAAGGGGGCACGGGGAGGGTGAAAGGGGTAAAGGGCACATGTGTACAGTGACAGATGGAAACTAGACTTTTGGTGGAGAACACGACGAAGTCTACACACAAGCTGAAACATAATAATGTACACTTGAAATTTACAAAATGTTATAAAGCAATATGACTTCAACAAAATAATTCAAAACAAAAGAATCCCCATAGGCATTAGCATATGTGGCCTTTTGTGCCTGACTTCTTTCACGTAGTGTCATGTTTCCCAGGTTCACCCATGTTGTAGCATGTATGAGTACTTCATTCCTTTTATATCAAATAATATTTTATTGTGTGGATACATCACATTTTATTTGTTCATTCATCAGTTGATGGTCATTTGGGTTGTTTCCACTTTTAGATTACAGATGTTTTTAAAACAATTCAAAACACAATTTCTCGACTCACTGCTCCAGTGGGAAAATGCACACCAGACTCACTTTGGTTAAACCTGTGTTCGTGGCTGGAGCCGACAGGAGCCTCCCACACCTGCCCCTCCCTGTGAGGTCATGCCACAGCAATGTCAGTTATTAGGAATAATGTTCAATTAGGACCACACACTAAATGGAATGTGAGCCTAACTTTTCTTGACACACTTGTCAATTTGGCTTTAAAATCTACCCTAAGAAAATGACAATCAGACCTGACAGGCCTCAATCTAGCTTCGGTTAGATCTGGTTTTTAAAAAACTCCATGACTCAATGTTGCCCCATTGTGCAACATTTTTCTAATTTGATAAATTGACCTTCATTGTATGATCAGATAGTGACATGAAAAATATTGATTTTGCAACAGATTATAGTTGCATCTTGGAAACATCTTAATACCAGGTGCAGGAGGTAAAACTTGTTTATTTAACTTCAATTTAAGGCAAGTTTCCCCCAAAGACATGATGAACAACGGGTGGGTCCCAGTCCCTCGAAGTTCATCCACTTCCCAGGGGCCTCTGTGCACCCTCAGGGTGTCCTCCTGTTTCTCTGGTTTCTCTCCTGCTGTTGGGGCCCACGCAGAGAAGACCAATGGAAAGCAGATATTGCGCAAAGATCAGCAGGCCTAAACGCTGACTTTCCAAATCTTGGGCAATGTGAAGATAAGGTTACTGCAAGTGGCAAGCCTCAATCTACTGGAAAAAGTAAAACAGAAGTGACTGTGTTCTCTGGAAGGCAAGGCTCTGAGTGCAGAGTGTCTCATGCTTTCGAAGTAGGAAAGTGTCCACAGCTAATATTTGGATGGGCCCACATCACACATCTTTCTCACTGAAGCCTGGGCCTATCCCATCAGAGACAAAGGGCCCTTGCTGTGCACCTGTGGAGAGGGGAGTTTAGCTGAGGAAGGCAGGGCCAGCCTCTTAATGCTCTTCTTGTTTTAAGCAGAGTTTTGTAAGGGAGCGGCTCTGGAAGTAAAGCAGAGCATGAGCATTTGAGCCTGGAGTGTTTTGAAATACGTCTGCTCTAGAAAGCCTCTGTCACTGGGCCTTCAGCTAGGCCTCATTCCCCATTTCTCCACCCAGGACTGCTGACTCTTCCATATGCCGCCAACGACAACACTGGCCAGTGGAAATGAAGTATTTGCTGATCCACGAGACTGGGGTGACAAGGAGCTTTCACTAGTAGAGAAGGCGAGGGGAAAACAGAAAGAAAACACTTGGCATGGTAGCCTCCTTAAGAGTATCTTCTGAAGCTTGTAGCCCAGCACAACAAACACTCACAAAGGCATCAGGACTGTGCTAAGCACTGGGCATCTCTCAGAGAGCGCACAGACGGCAGTGGGGTCAGAACACAAGAAAACGTGTGGCAGTGGAAACACAGGTGAGCACAGGAGTACGACTGAGCAAGGGGTGATGAACTGGGTGCAGGAAAAGGAGGGAGGCACAAAGTGATGACAGTGGTAGGTTTTTAAAAGACAGGTAGTCACCCCATAGATAACATAAGGGCACGAGGATTGGGGGAGGAGGGGCAGCATTCCAAGTCAAGGAAATAGGACAGGCGAAGGCCGGGGCAGGCAACAGCATGACGTGTGTCAGCGCGTGGGTGTGTGAGCGTGAGTGAGCATGCTTACTGATGTTTAGTGATTATACGAGTGATTTGGTGATCTGATCTGCAGAGTCTTGTGGACGTGTAAACACTTCCCCTATCAACACTCGTCACTTTTTATTAAAATTCGTTTTTAGCTGTCAATCTTCTCAGTAGGTTATAAAAATCATGTCTATCTTGATTAACCTTAAGAAGATTTGAATAAATGGAGAGACATAGTCCATGTTCCTAGATGAAAGAACTTAATTTTGCAAAAATATAAACATTCAAAATTAATCTATACATTTTTAATGTGATCCCAATCAAAATCCCAATGGGATGCTTTTATAATGTGATTCTAGACTTAAATTCCATCTGTACAAATAAACATAAGAATATTCAAGCAAAAATTTTAAATGAAGAATATTTCAATAATAATATAAAACTGTAATAATAAAATGGTGCTCATGTAGGAATAGTTAGATCAACAGACCAGAGTAGGAAATTCAGAAACAAAATTAGGTATGTATGGTAATTTCGTTATTATAATGGATTAGACAGTAAATGGTGTTGCAATAACTGACTTGTCATTTGGAAAACAATTCACCCAAATGGCTTGTGAAGTGTTCAAGTCAAAGTCAATTGTCAGCACACACAGCAAATGCATCTGTGAGTTCATCTACAAGCACAGTGGTCTTTCACAGCCCGGGTCACATTAGTGTGTAAAAAGGAGGAAAGTGTGTTTTCTGGGTATTGGCCCATTCATCTGCCCAGTTCATACGCCCAATAGTCTTGTGTCTTGTCGAGAAGTCTTGTGTCATCTGTGTGGGAGCTGTGTTATATGAGAGTGTCTTTTTGGAGCACACGGGGTATAGTGGATAAATGTCCACCCTCTAACAGCTGAGTTTATATTTGGGGAGAGGCTGGTCCTTCTCTGAGGGAAGGAAAAAAGTCAACCAAGGACCAGATGCAAATGAAACTTACAATGAATTCACTGGTGGGGTTTCTTTGAAAGATTTCAAAATGAAAGATTGTGAAGAATTTTATTCAGTTCGTTCAACAATACAATTTCAAACAAATTCCATTATGATTAGTTGAGTGCCTAGAAAGGAGAAAGAAAAGGATAGGAAGAACTTTTTAAAAGAAGCTGCTGAAAAAGTTCTAGAGATGGAGGGTGGTGGTGGTTGACAACGAGATGAATGTACTTAATGCCACTCAACTATGCACTTAAAATGATAAGTTTTATGTTTGCCACAATTTAAAAAAAAAAGAGCCCGGAGGAGAGAGAGCACGGAAGGAGAGCGCAATAGTGGGGAGAGGGCGTGCTGCTCTCTCCCGGACCTTGTTCCCACGCCTGTGACCCCCTGGGCTGCCCGAGGCCCATGATCTCCGTTCACAGTGCCCCCCTCCTGGGCTGGCACCAGCGCATGGCACTTTCTGATCTGTTCCACGTGCCAGGAACTCAGCTTAGTAAACACGGTTTTTCTCTTTCTCTCTTAGGTTGCTCCCTCCAAGCGACTTGTCTGGGTCTCTAGAAAAGCCTTCTTAGACGTGGGCCGGCATCTGACAACCGGCACTTCCGCGCAGATGTTTGCGCAAACGCATTGGTTGTCATATCTGCACTTGTCAGTGTTAGTGGCGGTGTAGGGGTGGCAGGGCGGAGTCCTGGGGGGGACAGAGACTTGAGAGATCACAGCAGGTGTCCCTTGGCTGCTCTGTCCCCATCGCTTACGGCTTGCCCTCTTACAGCACGTGCTGCTGCCTCTTCCGGACCCCTGACTTGCGGGCGCTCGCAGCCCGGCCTGGGTTAGACGCCTCTGTTCTGTGCTCGGGGTGCGGGTCCACAGCGGTCACAGCGTGCGTCACTCGCATGAAAGTGCCTGATCTGTGACCCTCTCCTGTTGCACCTGAATCTCTTTGAGCGCAGAGACCGACTTGTATTCAACTCCGGACTCTCATCCCCGTCGATGCCTCACGTAGAGAATGCCCTCAAATTCTTGCTGAAAGAATGAAGCTCTTCCTTGTAAAGCCTTGCTGCCCCTGAGGCGCGCGCCCGCCCGGGGCACGGCGAGGAGGGGCGGAGCGGCAGGTGCGCCTGGGGCCCGCGGGCCGGAGGGCGGCGGCGGGCGGCTCGGCGGGGCGCCGCGGGCCTCTCCCCAGCGTTTCTGCCGTTTATGGGGTCTACACACATGAATCACTGTCACTTCCTCAAAAGGAGAAATTATAATGTAAATATTTACATCCTGTAGAGTCAAGTGTTTGCATTTTCCTGGAGTTTATGGATATGGAGACATATGTATAATATAATCTTGTGAAGATTTTAAATGAAAGATGTAGAGAAAATAATGAATAAATTGCAAAGTAATTCACATTTTATTTTTTCTTACCAATCATACAACATTATTATTCCTGTTATCAGTGAGCAAACTAAAGCTTATCGATAAAGTAAGGTTAAGTGACTTAGGTCTCATGGTTGCAGGTGAAAACGTTGTGATTCAAGCTGGAGGGTCGGACACCGATGTCCGTGTTTCTTTTTCAGAGGATGCATTGTGGCTAGAATAAATCAATCATTAATGATCCATATCAACAAAGGAATGCAGTGTATTTGAAAAAATGTAATTATTATTTCTACACCCATTAGCCCCAATGCTCACTAAAAAATTAGAGGTTTAGGGTGCGGCAGAAACTCTGGCATTTGGTCTCATCTTGCATAAGCTTTCTTTGTAGAAATATTTGAGAAAAATAAGATACACTCTCTCAAACATAAATTTTATATGGGTTTAAGAAATCAGCAACATATAGTTGAGAAAGACTAATGCTAATTTTAATTTTTTATGGTTATATAAGCAATACATGTGCAGGAGAGAAAATTAAAAACAAATAAAGGTGTATAAAGAAAATGGTAAAATCCCATATAATCCTGTTAACCACAGACAACATTCCGGCACACTGGAAGATAAGCATATGTTGAATGAGTCTCTTTTCCAGTGTCACATGTATGTTGTTTACATAATTGAGCCCATATCATGTCATATCTTTTTTCTGTGTAACATTTTATCACAGGTGTAGCAAATGTGAATTGCGGCCCACAACTCAGGAAAGCAAGGGATACAACTTTCTTTTTCGTACCCATTTCTCTCTATTTTGAGCCCCTGTTTGACAGGAGAGTTGACATTTTCTCCCTTGTCTCCAAGTTATGCTCTGGTTCCTGAAGACCATTGTCAAAGCGTGAGGTGGGTGGGGGGCAATCTGTCCCCACCATCAGTGCTCCAGGAGCCGCTGAGATGGGACCAAGGCCTCAGGGCTCCCTGCACCATGGTGGGGGTGGGGGGGTCCCAGGAATCTGCCTGGTGTCAGCTTCAGCATCTCTCCCTGGAGTTGCATGCAAAGATGAGGGCCCCGGGGCACTTTGTTCTCTCAGATCTTTCTGGAGATTTAGGGCACAGGGCCCTCTGGTGAGACCCACTGATGTACATTAAAAAACAATACTACTGCGATGAGTAGTTGTAGAATCTTTCTGTAAAATCTTTGTCAAAAGTTCTGTTATTTCCTATGATAGATTCAGAAGGTGGAATCACAGAGACAAAGAGTAGGAGGATGTTACCCTCTTGATGGGCTTATCACATTGTCTCCGGAGAACACCAACCTAGTTTCTGCCATCAAGCTGTGGGGGCACCTGCCCAGAGAACCCTGGCAGGCCTCATCGCTCAGTACGGCCTTCCTTCAGCAAAGAGATGACTTTGTCTGTTCGCCCCCTGAGCTTTATTTCCTTCAGTTAGAAGGTCAGCTTTTACTGAGAACCCATTCAATGCGAAGCACATATCATTGGGACTTAAGGATTCTGAGCCTCAGTGTCTTCATGGTCAAAAGAGGGCAAAGACATCAGGCCCATCCTGCAGAAACGAGAGCTGAGGAAGGTGGCAGGGCTGCATAGGACCCCAGTTCTCTCCACAAAGAGCTTGATCACTAGGCAGGTCACAGAACCTTCATGAAGAAGGGTCTTAAAGTTCACTTAGTCCAAGCCTTCCCTCTACACGAGGAAACAGCACAGAGAGACCAGGTGGCTGTGGTCAGGGGTGCGGCTGGACTGAATGCCTTCCTCCTCTGAGGCCAGTATTCTTTCCATGTGTCCTCACGGGAGCTCGGCCCCACCCCCAGACCCAGAGTGGACGGGAGCACTGTGCCCTCCGTCCTCAGACAGGGGACCTGGGGTCGCTTGCTCACCCCTTGTACTCTAGGGGACACACCTCTCCGGTCAACCAGACCTGCTTCTAGGACAGCAAGGCCTCATCCCTGTACTGGACAGACAGGCCTACACCAGAAAGGCAACATGGCTCTTCAGAATGGTCCTTTTGCTGGGCTCAGGTGGCCACTCCAAACTAAGAGCTCCCTTCTGTCTTCCTGCTCCCACTTACAACATTCCCTGCTTTGCACTGAGACACCTCAGTGGAGCGGGTAAGCAATTGAGGAGTTTCTAGCACCACTCCTGGCCTGCACTATTTACCATATTGGTTCATATTTATGGCGGTTTATTTAGGACGGGGTTTCCTCGTTAACAGTTTCCCTTTTGCCTAGTTTCTTGGCCAGCTCTAAAGGGCTCTAGAGGCCTATTCATCACCACTACAGCTTGAACTGCTAAACAACAACAACAACAACACACACACACACACACAATCATGAGTGCTCCCAGTATTTGTAACTTTGGGATTTCTTGGGGTGTGACATTTTGAAGTTATTATCTTGTGAGATGCTTTTCGTCTTTTAATGTGGGAGGAAACCAGCCCTTACTGGGTCCCTGTGTGCACAGGCACTGAAACAGGCACTGCATATAATCTGCCTTTTCTTTCCCATAACTGTCCTTGGTATTCCCATTTTACTCATCAGGAAACCAGTCAGAGAGCTGAAAAATAGTGAAACCAAGATTGAAATTCAGGTCTAACTAATATTTTTTCTGCTGTGTGATGCTGCTGCTTCTAGGAATGTTATCTTAAAGCATTTGCACATTCTGAAGTGTGGTTCTGTTCCAAGTGACAGTTCACTCCCCGGGAACCAGAGCTTCAGTTTGACATTTAAAGTGGCTAATGAGAATTTATTAGTATAGTTAATAGCTGTTTCCTCACAAGTTGTGGCATAAAGGAACATGGAGAAGAGAGAGTCAGGAGGTTGTTGGGTTTGATCTGCTAAGGCTCCTGAGTGGAAACGAGTTTCATTGGGGTGAGAATCATGGCATGATGACAAGGATAAACAAGGGAGCAACAGTAAGCCCATCACCAGGGCCAGGATGAAGAGTCCAGAGGGAGAGTAACAAGAGTGACCGTGCTGAGGTACTGAGGTGGGGCTGGTAAGTGTACTGAATTAGCTAGAACTTGTTTTACTAGGAAAGAAAGCATGAGCCGCTTAAGTGGCCTGAATATACGCCTACACCTACAAATGACCTGAGACAGATAATGCTACCTTTATGACTCAAATACTCTCTTTATAAAGTGGGAGACATAACCTTGTGCTAAGTGATGCACTTCCACCACTTCCTAGAGGTGTTGGGAGAGCTTCCAGAGAGCTTTCTTAACCTGTAAACCTTGTTATACCCCATATACAATTCTCTAATTATTTATTTCTTGCATCCCAGAACTACAGGAAAAGATTTCTGACATAAAACAGAAATTACACAGAGTTACCTGAGTTAATTCTACAATTCAGTTTCTACCCAATCCAGTACACTTATTGGTTATAGATTCGTAAACGAAAAGGTCTTAGAGATGACTCAGTCCAGCGATGGCAAATGTCCGGCGTGCACGCCGCACCCCCAGTGTCCAATGCCCAGGTGGACATCATCATTCCACGTGAGCACTCTCCCCTGAGCCTGACCACAGCCTCAGAATCCTTCACCAGCACCTCCACCAGCCACTGCCAACTGACTGCAGCTGGCATCTGACTGGAAACCTATTTGCCACCCTGATCTAGTCCAACCCTTTGCAGTTCCAGAAGAACTGGAAGCCTGGAGAGATTAAATGATGAAACTCGGGTCTCACAGCTCGTTAGTGGCAGAGCCAGGACTAAAATCTAGGCCTCTGACTTCTTGCTCCACATCCATGTCCTTCTTATGCCTTTAGGGCTAGTGAGACCCAGCTCTACTAAACAATTCATTTATTCAATAAGTAGTTACCCAGAACCTACTATGTAGCAGACATTATGCCAGATAAATGACTGATCCCCCTAGATCCAGTGAGAGAGGAATTTCATAAACCACAGGCCTTTCTTCACTTAGCATGGGCTGGATCCAAATTCAGCTAGACAGACAGATGGACGGAGATTATGGCATCCCTTGTTCCAGGGACTTGAGAAAACTTACTCAAAAAGAAGTTTACAAAGTTAATAATAAGATAAGTAGTGACTGCTACCCACTACTAGTAGTCTTGTTTGTGTGTTTTCCGTCTCTTCTGGTCTTTTCCTGGGCATTTTGTGCTGAGAATCTGTATATAGAACATGACTATACATAGTTTCGAAGGAAAAACTATTATGGAAGGAAATTGAGTACCTTGTTCCAAGTCTTATATCAAAGTTTAGGAGAGAAAAAAGATCTAATCATCATAGCTTTTGGTTACACGTAAATTATCAACCATGAATAAAATGTCAGCTGAAGGTCAACTGCATTCTCTTCCCGCTGGTTATATTACAGGGAAAATAGCATTGAACTAGGTATCAGAAGACCTGGGTTCTAGTTTTGTTCCTCCCTCAGGCAGCTTGTGACACCAGGTGAATCACTTCAATATTGCTGAGCCTCTGACTTTGTGCACTGACTGCCTGGCAAGGTTGTTATTAGGATTAACAGCAATAATAAAAGCTCCCTCTGCTATTGTAATTTACCATTTGCAACACTTTTTCACAACAACCCTGAGAGGTGGGTAGGGCAGTTTTAATTACCCCCAATTAAAGATGAGAAATCCACATCTCAGAGAAGCGAAGTAACTTGCTCAAGGTCACCCAGTTAGAGAGTGGTGGCTGTGGGAGGGAGCTTTCTGCTCTCTTGTGTGGGCCACATTCCCCCGCATGCTTCTCCCAGGGAGGCAGCCATGGTGGGAAACCCCTCCCACACCTCGTGGTGTCGTGGATGCAGAGGGGACTGAGAAGCTTGGAGATATTTGAGTGGCTCTTGACAGGTTTTCTGGGTGTGGACATTAGGACGGGCGTTTCCAGCGAGAAGTGCCTCTGCGGCGCTTGCAGACTCCATATTTGTCTGCTCCCATGTCTTTACCACATCAGTAACTGTCTCCATGTGTGTCCTCGATTGTGTTCCTCTAAAAGGCACAACACCCACACATGCACACACACACACACATGAGCCACTAAATTACAATCGTAAATTTTAGTGAAGGGCCCTATATCAAAATCCTTAGATAGTAATCAGTTTATTAAAGAATTAAGTCAGTCATGTCCTATTCAGAGGTTTTTGCAGCACAATGTCTAGGAAAAGACCAGAAAAAGAAATAGAAAATATATACCAAGTGGATGAGCAGTCTCTTTCTGTGCCCAGCTGGCTCTGTGGTGCTGGTAGACATCTTAGATCCGGCAAGGTGGCAGCAGGGACCCCAACTGCCATCTCCCTGACTCTCTGGGAGTCTGTACCCTGAGCATACCTTTCCCCAATGCAGACGCTGTTATCCTGTGCTTAATGAAGTCACTTTGTGACTCACCACCTCCCGCACTGGGCCAGAGGGAGGGGCTGCCAACAGACCTGACAAATGGCAGTGTTCTCCACTCTTGGCTTTGTCAGTAGACAGTAACTCTAAAGCAGTGGCTTGCAAACTTTTAAATATGTGTGTGTGTGTGTGAAACAAAAAAACAATATGCTACATTTCACATAATTTGAGATTTCCTAGCCTATTCTATTTCACATAAATGAAATGCTGGTTGCAACCTAATGTATTGATTTTATGACCCTCCAATGGGTCATGATCCACACCACCAAGAGGCATCTTTCAAAGGGCAACCTCATGGTCCCCTGCATACCAGAGAGCAAACCCCCACTGCACAGGAGGGGAGCCCATGCTCAGGGCAGGGAAATGGTCAGCCCAAACCCCATACTGCAGCTCAAGGTCCCTTTCACCTTACATTTTCTTCCCAGACCCTTCTCTCCACTCACTCCCGCCAAGCCTGACCTCCTAACAAGCCTCTCTGCCTGCAGGTGGGGTCCTCTACATTTACCCTTCACTGACCCCCAGAACGATTTTCTGAAATAGAAATCTGCCCCTTTCCCACCCTTCCATGACCTCCCTCAGCTCCATCACCTGAAGGAGGAAGGCTAAGCCCCTCAGACGGCTCCGGAGGTCCCTGTAACCTTGGTCCTACCTCCCTGCAGTCTCAACCCCTACACTCCCTTCCTCTTCCTTTACACTCCTACTGCGCCACAGTGCATGCCACTTCATGCCTCTGTTTATGCACGCCCCTGTTCTTCACCAGGCTGGCGCCTATTCAGTCTGACACTAGATCGAATAGCACCTCCTCCAGGAAGTGGACTCTGACCCATCGAGGTTGCCCAGCCACCTATTTTGCATGATCTGTGGTCCTCTGGGCACACCCCTGTGTGAGTACCTGCTCTGGTGTTGCCTTTCCTGGACACGTGTGTAGGATGTGGGAGGGGTAGGACCCTGGGCAGGACAGAGAAGATTGTTGCTTGCTCATGGGCTGTGGTGTGGAGCTGAGGGAAGTGACTTAACAAGTAGCATCTTGGGGGAGAAAAAGAACTCAAAGCCGGAAAGACTGTCCAGCTGAGTCATGAATGGACCAGGGCTGGCTGAGAGGGAGAGTCCAGATACAGGGCAATGTGATCGACCTCAAGAAACCCCAGTAACCAGAGAAGGCAGAACAGAGAAGGTGAGCAGTTGAGCCCAGATCTGGCTACTCAAAGTGTGGTCCACGGACTAGCATTGCCTGCAGATTGTTACAGATGCCCTAGCCCAACCCAAAAAACACTGGTCTGGAGGAGCTTCCCTGAGCTGAGAGTGAACCCCCCGGCTCTTTATAGGAGTCTTTACCCTGTACTTGGCTACCCTGAGCGCTCCCTGGGCTGTGCTGAAATTTTCTGCCTGCAGGTCTGTCAGCTCCCAAGATCAGGGGCTGCTTCTTGTGTGTCTTTGTGTCCTCAGTGCCCCGTCTGTCCCCGTCACACCATGTGGGCACATTAGCATTCCTGCATACACCAGGACAGAAATACTTCCCACAGGTCTTCCAAATTGGCTGCTAATGGAAGAAACACCTTAGTCAACTTTGATTCCATTTCCGCTACTTAAAATTGCTATAAAATCAAGACATGCTCATTGTGGATGTCTTAGAAAATAAAGATTAAAAAATTCATCCATATTCTCACAATCCAGAGACAACCACTACTACATTTTTACAGCATTTCTTTGTGAAAAAAATCTCCATGGATGTTTATTATTACTTATAAGTAGTTCGCATCACATTCACGTAATGGGCTTAAACGTAAGAAACATGTTCTATTGCAACTCCCTACATACATATAACAGAAATAAAAGTTCTAGTAAGCAATACTCATCTTTACTAAATACCATACTCTTTGATGTTTCTTACCCTATTATATTCCATTCCATTAAATTAAAATAAAATCCTTATTGCAATGAAACTGAGCTCATCTTACTCATATCCCATCATTTCCACTCCACTGCAGAAAAACACTTCATCTTTCTATCTTAGGGTAACTTGGCCTCTTCTGATTTAACATAGTTTGTCTTAGGAATTTTTTTTATTGTGATAAAATATACATAACATAAAATTTACCATTTTAACCATTTTTAAGTGTTCAGTTCTGTGGCATCAAGTACCTTCACATTGTTGTGCAACTATCATCACCATCCATCTCCAGAACTTTTTTATCTTCCCCAACTGAGAGTCTACACCCATTAAACAATAACTCCCCATAGTCCCCTCCCCTCAGCCCCTGGCAACTGTCATTTGACTTTCTGCTTCCATGAATTTGACTACTCTAAGAAACTTACTCCATTGTATGTATATACCACCTTTCATTTGTCAATGGATTCTTATTGCTTCCACATTTTGGCTATTGTGAATAAGGCTGCTATGAACATGGGTGTACAAATATCTGATCCAGTCTCTGTTTTCACCACTTTTGAGTATATACCTAGAAGTGGAATTTCTGGATCATATGGTAATTTTATGCTTAACTTTTTTGAGGAATTGCCATACCATTTTCCACAGTAGCAGCACCATTTTACATTCCCAGCAGCAATGCACGAGTGTTCCAATTTCTCCATATCTTCATCAATATGTTATTTTCTGATTTTTTTATAATAGCTGTAATTTGTGTGAGGTAGTATCTCATTGTGGTTTTGATTTGCGTTTCCCTAATGATCATTGATATTGAGCATCTTTTCATGTAGTTAATGGCCATTTGTATATCTTCTTTGGAGAAATGTCTTTTCAAGTCCTTTCCCCATTTTTTTAACTGGGTTGTTTGTTTTATTTTGTTGAGTTGCTGTCTCAGGAATTTACTCAGTGAAGTCAGGATTTATCCTCACTCCATTAGAAAGTTCAGATTCTGTGGCCCTGGCGTCTGCTGTGGTGAGGAAGCAGGGGCCAAGAAGGTGGTAAATCCCCTGTTTGAGAAAAGGCCTGAGAATTTTGGCATTCTACAGGAGATCCAGCCCAACAGGGACCTCACCCACTTTATCAAGTGGCCCCACTACATCCAGGTGCAGTGGCAAAGGACTATCCTCTATAAGCGGCTAAAAGTGCCCCTCTGTGATTAAGCAGTTCCCCCAGGCCCTGGACCGCCAAATGGCTACTCAACTGCTTAAGCTGTCCCAAAAGGACAGACCAGAGACAAAGCAAGAGAAGCAGCCGAGATCGTTGGCCCAGGCTGAGAAGAAAGCTGCTGGCAAAGAAAATGACCCCACTAAGAGGCTATCTGTCCTTCAAGCAGGTGTTAATACTGTCATCTCCTTGGTGGAGAACAAGAAGACTCAGTTGGTGACGATTGTGCATGATGTGGATCCCATTGAGCTGCTTCTCTTCTTGCCTGCCCTGTGTCGTAAGATGAGGCTGCCCTACTGCCCTGTCAAGAGGAAAGTCAGGCTGGGACATCTAATCCACAGGAAGACCTGCACCACTGTCACCTTCACAGGTTAACTTGGAAGACAAAGGAGCTCTGGCTAAGCTGGCAGAAGCTATCAGGACCAATTACAGCGACAGATATGAGGAGATCCATGACCACTGGGGAGGCAAGGTTGTAGGTCCAAAATCTGGGGCTCGCAATGCCATACTGGAAAAGGCAAAAGCAAAAGAACTTGCCACCAAAATGGGTCCAATGAACACCTTTGAGTTTTCTGTACAAAAAATGAAAAAAATTCTTCAAAAAAAGGTTTCAAGTTCTCTCAATTATTTTGCCTTCCCCCTTTCCTTCTCCCTGGGGTAGTATCTGGGTGCAGATGTAGGCTAAGGCAAGCAGCTGTAATAAATATATCCCCATGTATGTATGATAGAAGTTTATTTCTCTCTCACGTCATGTCCTAAACATTCTAGGTCAGCTGGTGATATTTTCCACAAGAGAATTGAGGGAACAGGCTCTTTCTAGCTCTTGGTGCTGCCATTCTCTAGGACCTCTTTATCATCCATATTCAACTGTGAGTGGGTAGAACATGTGTGTGGAGGGGCATACCTGCTTCTAGAAAGCCCTCACCTGGAAATGCAGATACCACTTGTACTCATATTCTGTGATGTAGACCCTAGTCACCTGCTAGCCACACCTAACCTGAAGGAAGCCTGGGAAATCTAGTCCCTTCCAGAAGAAGAGAAAATGATTTTTGGTAAACAGCTCAAATCCCTACCACACTACAGAGACTGGGAGGAGAGTCCTACCATGTGCCGCCCCCAACTGTTTGTGGCCTTGCTGAGATGTCTCTTTCCACTCGTCCCTGCTGGTGTCCAGCTCTGCATCAGCTGTTTCTGATGCAGCTGGCCTCACCTGGCCTTTTGGCACCTGCCACTCAGATCAGCCCCAGCATGAGCTTTGTCCTGCAGCCATTACTCTGCGTTCATTTCTCACATACCCGGGACACATCTCCCACTAGCCATGGGGGTACTTCGGGTCTCCCCAAACCCAGTGCAGACTGTGAGGAACTGCAGGCACTGTCTCAAACTCCCCTCTGCCTAGATATACACCTTAGCGACCACCTCATATTGGTGAGGGGCCTCAAAAGGCAGGGCCATTCCAGAGAATATTGTTCAAATGATGCCCAAGCTTTTCTTGGGGTATTTATGTTCCTTCTCCCCCATGGTTTTCCCCCAAGGAGGAGGCAACAGTGAGCAGGCCTTAAGCTCATTAAAAAACCCAAAAAACAAAAAGCATCTCTCTCTTCTCTCCACAGTTCTCTCCTAGATGTTGCAAAGAAAAAGCTCTTTGATTTTAGACAGTTGTGCTCATTATTAGTTTAAAGAACTCACTCAGTGCTTCAAATGCCTTTTTTTTTTTTCTTTCTGGAGCAGTATGTTCTTCCCTTCCTCCAAGGCTTGAATGTCATTGAGTCAATGGGTAGGCACCTGAGGGGCAGAAGAATAATTGTGAGAGAAAAGTCCCATTTTAAAATCTCCTGATATTATCCTGCCACATTCAGCTTTGAATCTGGCCTTTTCCACCGAAGAATTTTGCCATGAAAATTTTCCCATTCCCTTTGATAATTATTTGAAAACACAATTTTGTAACAATAAGAAACAAGCTGAACAAACTGAAAATCACAACTCTTCTTAGATCCATCAGAGAACTGAAATCACAGGGCACACCACTGCCCTCAACATTAGAGAGAGATGGTCACAGAGAATCACGGCTTGCCAGGTGCAGAAGCCCGCAGCCGGAGCCGGCTGCTGGTAGGAACACTTAAACAAAACTGACAAACGGCTGGAGGTTCAGTGTGGAAGAGCTTGAGAGTAAAAACTTGGGGTCCAATCTTAGGGGAGCCTCCACACTTTTGAGAGTTTTATCTCCAAGAGCTCCACCAGGTTCTCATGGTGTAGATCAAAGAAAAATCCCCTCAAACTTCCAAAAGGAGGAGGAGAAAAGTCGCCATTCTGAAATACATCTGCCTGCCAAGGGAAACTTTCAGCAGAGCCTAACCGCCTTGGGTTACACCACAGCCCAGCCAACATGAGAGAAGGGAAGTGCCCAACTCCAGCCCCTGTTAGCCTTCCTGTCTCACCCTAGGGAGGAGGAGGAAGCTGAGAAGCACTTGTGAAGGTCACAGCCTGGGGACATGGGCTCCCTGACAGACTGAGATCTAACTGTAGGACTGTAGGACACGCCACCCCCACCCCCCGCACCTCACCACCACCCATTGATCAGGCTTCTGTAGAATAACAGAGGATACAGCTGAAAGAACAGCACAGCTCAGACCCTATTTAAGAAGGAGTGTCTACGGAAATCCAAAGACAACAGGGGAGATAAAAACAAGGACACTAGAGGAAATTTAAGCCTCTGACACCACAGCTACAGCAAACAGTAAACACAGCTTAACTCCTAGCCAGAGAAACTTAAAACCTCACACCAAAGACCTATTTACCTCAGCTCCTATTACCTGAAACATCATGTCCACCTTTCAACAAAAAATTACAAGGCATACTAAAAGACAAAAAAAAACACATAGTTTGAAGAGACGGCACAAGCATCAGAACCAGACTCAGCTATGGCAAAGATGTTGGACTTATCAGACTGGGAATTTAAAACAGTCATGATTAATATGCTAAGGGCTCTAATGGGAAAGCGGACAGCATGCAAGAACAGATGGGTAATGTGAGTAGAGAGATAGAAACTCTCAGAACGAATCAAAAGAAAATGCTAGAAATAAAAAGCATTGCAACAGAAATGAAGAATGCCTTTGATGGGCTCATCAGTAGAGGGGACACAGCCGAAGGCAGAATCACTGAGTTTGAAGATATGTCAAAACACAATTTCAATTGCTTTTTATTTTGTATTTGCCATTTGTAGTTCCTATTCTATAAATTGTCTTTTTCCTGCTAACTTAAGCTCTGTGTTGAAACAGAGCTTGGGTCAACATCTGATCCTGAGAGAAACACTTCACTACAATGTGTGAGCACTGGAGGCAAGTGAACAAACACACACAGAAAAGAATAAGACGAGGGAACACTAAAGGGGGAGAGAAACAAAAATTAGAAATTAGATTAACAAAGTGTGAGAAGATATGCAGACCAATCACAGGAAAAGAAAAAAAATAAGTCAGAAATATAAATACACAAATAACTCAAGGGGAAGGAATGAATTGAAAAAACAACAGAGTAAGAGTCCCCATAAGTCATATAAATCAAATAAAAAATAGGATCATTAGAATTGATGTTCAAGGATGCAGGGAAGTACACGCAAATATACAGAGCAGGGGTAATCAAAAGTGCATGTGGGATTATAATGCAGGTGTGTAGACGGGCACGATAATGTTGTGATAAGAACATGGCCCCTTGTTAGACTGCGGTTGGGAGTTCAAATCCCAACCATGTCTCTTATTAGATGCATGAACTTTGTTAAGTAAATTAACTTCTGCGCCCATATTCCCAACTCTCAAATGGGGAATATAATAGATAATATAACAGTTCTTACAGCACTGTTGAGAATTAAATGAGTCGGAGCATATAAAGTACATAAAAGAGTACCTGGCATGTAACAGTTTAGCCATTATTATTACTACAATACTATTTTTCAGACTGCAAGATGCTGGAAAACAGGGACCATATCTTGCTCCTTTTTGTATTTCATCTAGCCTACGGCCTGGCACACAGTAAGTACTCATCAAATGCATACTATTGAGTGAGGGAGAAACAGTCTTACAACTATCGCTGAGACTTGGTGGCCTTGAATTCAATAGTAGAATAAGAGTTTCCTTTCTTAAAGAAATGATTATAACCTTGGAGAAAATTCACATAATTTTAGAATTTCCATTGTTAAGGCAAGGCAGGGAAGACTAAGGAGTTTGACATATGCCCTAGACTTTAGAAAGGCAGACTAATTTGATTTTATCACCTGAGATACTAAAAGATGAGATATTCCAAAGTGGTGCAAAAATACTGAAACGTGTAGTTCTTGCTGCAATTGCAATGTATACAATTGAGGATAAGAAGGAGAGAACATCTCAAGAAATAAATACAACTATACACGACCCTCTCTGATGAGGTGAGATTTTAGAGGGTCTTGTATACGTGAGAGTGATGTGGAGTAGTAAGACTAGCGTCAAGTAGGAAATTGAAAATTATGGCTGCAAATACAAGCTAAAATCCAACACAGAGGACACTAAAGAGATCAGATTTTGCTTCTTGCTTATTGCTGCTTGCGGCTGAGAGTAGACTGCTGATAGAAAACAAATAGAAAGTGAAATTCATTATCTTCTAAGTAGAGTCTGTCTGCTATGTTAAGGGGAAACATTTTTAGACCGAAAAGTGCAGAAAGAACTTTTGTAAGGAAAATTGAAATTCAATGTCAGTAAAGAGATTAGAAGAGATTTCACAAAATCTCAGAAGAGAAACGAGAGCCCCGGGGTTCCTACAGGGCTTTGTAGCACACTGGCCGAGCGCCTCGTCCCCCAGCTGGAACGAACACAAACATCCGAACCCCAGACTTCTAGTCCAGAAGGAAAAAGCACCTGGAAGGAAGGTAAGAAGTCCCTCCCACTGTATCAGGATGCAGGCAGGAATAAGCTGGTAAGGACTATAGGTCAGCTCCGCCAGCATGCAAATATATTTCAGCGAACAAGGAAGAAAAGGCAGGAGAGAGAGGAAGAAAGGGCAAAGTAAAGGAAGAGACAAAGAGATCAACCTAACAGAATGTAACTTGAGGAACAGAAGTAAATTCCTCACAATTGTTCCGTTCCAAAAAAATCATTTAATAAGAATATGAAGTCAACAAAACAGTCAAAATGGAAAAAAACCAAAATTAGAGAAAGAGATTAGAAAGGAAATTGGCAGACATAAGGAAACACGTGGAGGATCAAGATCTCACTGTTAATAAATAGATTCGGAAAGCAAAGGGTAGAACTAGATGCTGATGGAAATGGAATTACCAACAAAGTTGGAAAGGTTTGGTATATCCCAGAGCATGCCAGTGAAAAAGACATGAAAATTACACTGGAAAGAAGCTAATAGATATGAGTCACAATCAACACAGTGATCGAGGTAGAGAATGCACAAACAGAACAGAAGATGCTGTCAAAGATATAACACAAGAGCATTTTCCTGAAAAAGAAAAAGAACAGAACTTTGCACCGTATTTCAGAACATTTTGATATAGAACACTCAAGTACAGAAAAGCTACTGGATTTCAAGGTAAAGAACGGATTCTTAAGACATCAGACAGAAAAATCAAAACACCTACAAGGCCAAAACCAAAATCAGTCTGATCTCCAACTTGCCTACAGCAACATT